GGGGGGGGGGGGCGGGAGGCTGCGGGGCGGGAGTCGCTGCCTGGCTCCTTCTCGGTTTCTGCATGACTGGCTGGTGCTGGGGCCCAGGTCTCACCCAGGCAGCTCTAATGGGTTGCTGGGTTTCGCGCTGCACCGTTGACTAGAAAGCTTTGAGAATGTAAGCTTAGAGGGGAATCGTTCCATCTTATCCTTTTAAAGAAGACTCGGATTCCGTAAGTCATTGCACATCGCCTCACAGCGCGAAGCTATTTCCAACTCGGGAAGTTCCCTCCATCCTTCCAGCCTTGCCTGTCAGGGGTCGATGTGACACCAGCAGTGAGAACAGGGACTCCCTAGCGGTTTCGTCACCATAGATCAATGCAGGTTACAAAACAGCTGAACTGCAGAGAGCGTTTAACCCCTCGGGCTTCAGGGCCCTGTGGAGAGGCATGGACCGGGTGGCTACACCCATGTCGCCCGAACTGGTGGCTCGGGCACAGCCTGGAGAGGACTGGCCCCTCTTGGTGGACTGGGTGGAGAGCCAGTTCCCAGGAACCGAGCAGTTCGAGAAGGGGCTGTGCACACCAGTTAGCAGGGCCACCGTCAGCCCGGCTACTCGGTGGCGGCTTTTTAATGTTTGTTGGTTTTTCATTAAAGATTGGCCTGACTCTGGATCTCAAATGTCCCTTTATTTGGCGAGTCGATGCCGCTTGGCAGAGTCGCATAACGAAATGTGAAACAGGCTTTGGCCGGGAGTGACTTTCAGGGCCCGTCCCTAGTTTCAGAGGAGAAAGGGAGAACACGAGGGAGGCGGACGAGACCCCTCGGCTGGACCGTCTGTGGGGCTGAGGGCCCTGGAGGGAGAGGGGCGTGGGGTCCAACACCAAATTGCCGAAGGACAGAGGTTCTCGCAGGCTCTCAGCAGGAGGGCAGTGAGGCTGCTGGGGATGCCAGACCACGGTCAGACACTCATGTTCATTTTGACCTTCACGGCCAGGGCCTCGCGGCACCTTCTTTCTGAACAATCACTAACTGCCTCCCGGTGACTTGCCTGGCTGTCCACACAGCTGCCTCGCCAGTCAGACGGGACTCCTGGAAGCTCTCACTGACTGGGAGCCGTCCCCTGCACCTCCATGCGCCTCTGCTGTAAGGGACGCCGGCTGCGGTTTCCACAGAGGCTGGGAGAGAAGGCTTTGCTAAGTCCGCCCTGACACCTCCCGGCTGGGGTTGGTCTTCGTCTGGGGGGCAGAGGTTGTCTCCACAGTGGCAACTGGGCGGTCCGGGGCCTGCAGTCTAAGAACAGGTGCCACCGGCCACATGCTCAGGGGCACAGCGAGGTCCAGCACCCAGTCCAGCCCTCTGAGGTGGGTGGTGTTCCGTGTGATGCAGTTCATGATGGGAGCTTGGAGACAATGTCTATTAAACGCCAGGTCAGCAGGGCCCGGGGGAGGGCATAGCGGTCACTCTGCCCTGGGCCTAACTCCGCTCCAGCCGGGGTTGCTCGAGTGTGCAAAGCCTGGAAAGGAGGCCCCTGAGGGACTGGGTCTCTGCTGAGCTTCCTGGCTCCCTCGGGCTAATCTAATCCTGCCGGCTGGGGTGCACTGACAGGCAGGTCTGATGGAGGGCCTTGCATAGACAAGGGGGCCGGTTGCTGGCGATTGGCTGAAGGCCTTGTTGGAAGTCAGTTACGAACCGGGTTCGAAGTTAGATTTTGATTGGCTACAGGACAGCGCTAGTAATCAAGACGGCAAGCTAGGGAGAGTTGGCTTTAAGGACCCCACAGAGCTGACTCCCTCTCTAAGCACTCACACCGCTTGGTTACGCTCTAGCACACTCACCTGGTCTCAGAATGGGTTTGAAGTCACGTCGGGCTCCCTGAAAGGTCCCTTCTGTCGTGTCTTCATATTCTGACATCCTAATTCGAGTGACAGATGGTGAGCAAGACTCTAGATGTGAGGAAGTAACACACACCAGCCAGGGGATGATCATCATTGTGGGGATGGCCCCGGACATGGGAGACGCCCGCGATCACCGTGGGATGACCCCGGACACGGGAGACGCCCGCGATCACCGTGGGATGACCCCGGACACGGGAGATGCCCGCGATCACCGTGGGATGACCCCGGACACGGGAGACGCCCGTGATCACCGTGGGATGACCCCGGACATGGGAGACGCCCGCGATCACCGTGAGATGACCCCAGACACGGGAGACGCCCGTGATCACCATGGAGAGAATGCCACAATGTGACACACTCCTCCACCATGGGGCCACTTTGTCCTGACCCCTGTGAACCAAATCAACTACAGTGACATGGTCCAGAGATCTAGTGCTTGGTTCTGACCCACTGTGCAGGAGCAGCGGTGCCCAGAATCCTGCCTGGAGTCATCTCTGTCTCTCGCTTACTGAGACATGGAGCTGCCCAAGAGCTGGTTGTCCATTGGCTCCTCACAGACAGGAACAGCACTGGAGGGACATGACAGACGGCCCCTGTGTTCACCACGGGAAGCACGGGTGGCTTCATCAGAAGCGCCATTCGTGAATCCTCACAGGGCTGGGGCTGCAACCAGGGGTTAGAGCTCAAACTTTGCTTGTGAGCTGTCAAATCATCCTCCACTTTGGTTTCCTTATTTCATGTCTGACATCATTTAGCTGCAAAGTCTTCCCTACAGATCCTGCCTCTGTTGTAGTTAATAAGAAATTGAACAGAAATTGAAAGAAATTGAAAGTCGCCTTAGAGGGAAGTATCGCTGTACCATCAGAACGACCCACAGCGGGGCGTCCGTGAGCTGTTGCAGGGTGAACTGGAGACTACGCTTACGTGTGGGTTTTACTTTAACATGGCATTTCCCGTACTCGGTAGGTTTCCTGCAGAAGCTATTGATTGTGAAGTTGGGGTCACAGAACTACATAGCAGACAGGATGCACAGAGATCCAGGAAAAGGGGCAGGGTGTCCCTGAAGACAGAGAAGTGCCCATGTGTGATGGCGGGGAAGCCGTCCCCATCCAGGGCATCAGCTACAGGCTCTGGGAAGACGTCGTCCTTGAGCATCAGTCCTAGAGTCCGATGGGACTCCTTGGGACATCAGCATAAAGACTGGCTGCGGTTTAGGGCTGGGATGTCCTTGGGGAGACCAGTCAGGGCTAGGACGTGGGAGGGACCTCTGTGTGGAGACCGGTCGGGGCTAGGGCTGTCAGACTCGGCCCACAGGGAAGTCTGGCCCTGGTGTGAGTAGCAGAGTGAGGCTGAGTGGAGCCAGAACAGCCGATGCGTCCCCTTTGGTACCTTTTTGGGTTAATGATATTTAAGTCAGTTTGGCTGAAAAAAAAAAAAAAAAAAAGTCAAGCCCAATGCACGGGGCGGGTGGCCCGCTGTGGACGCACTTACACCCCAAGCAGCGTCCACGCACGGAGAACCTTATCAGCACACCGGTCGGTCGGAAGTCAGAAAACCTGAGAGCCGGAACTCACTGCGAAAGGAGCAAACACAAGCCCAGCCTGGCCGGTGAACGTGGCAGCACCAAGCCCGACAGCCCGGGCGGGGCGGTGGGCCACGACTCTCTATGCTTTGATAAAGAGCTTTCTTCCCCAAATCTCAAATCATTAAAGTTGGGAAGGACTTGAGAATGTATGCGCTGACATCACTTCATACTCTCGGGAGCTGTGGCTGCAGAAGCAATGGCTGTCCGTCACGGGCTCGCCTGCACCCCTCGCTGGGCCTGGTGATCAGAAGGGCCCGGTGTCCTTGTCGTAGGGACTGTAGCTCTCCCTCCTCCTTTCTGTTCTGAAACAGCTTCTTCCCTACTGTGGGTTTCAGAGAAGAAATAAGCCGGGATTTCCCCGTATTCTGAGGTCGGCAAGCGCTGACCGGCGTGTGCCGTGGCGTCACTAGAGCCCTGTGGTGAGGGCAGGGCTGGTGAGTGTGCCTGTCCACAAGCCAGACTGGCCGAGCGTGAGGGGGCCTACCTGGTGCTCAGCGAGGAAGAGTCACCGACAGCCATGCCGTGGAGCACCCCCAACCGCAGCAGGAACAGAGCAAGCCAAGAACACAGGGTCCACAGCTCTCTACGACAGGACAGTGGCCACACATGGCCAGAGAGGAGACGGGAGGGCATGACTGGCAGGGCAGAAGGGCGTGCACTGACCCCTGCTCCCAGCAGGCTGGATAAAGACTGGGCTGTGATTGAACCCATCTCTCAGAGAACTCCCAAGGTCGCCAGAGCTCTTGGGTCAGAACCTGGGACACCTGCACTGGGTTCCTTGGGACCCCATGACCCTGCATGACCTGGCCCAGGCTCAGCTACCAATCCATGCCACAGCTGAGAGCCACGTGATGAGCCTGTCAGATGCTGTGGGGACAACTGAGCTGCCAGAGCCTCCCTGCCCAACTCTGGGACACCCTCCAGGAAAGGGAGGTTGAGGAGTTGCAGTGAGCAGGGCTGTGTGCCTGAGGTGCCTGAAAGCACACAGACAGAGGCGTGGATGCCGGCCCACTGCCTGCGGCTTGTGGGAGTGGCCTGTGGGTGGTCAGGGGAGCAGGGAGCCCAGTGAGAGTCTGCACCAGAGCAGGCCTGAGAGGCTGAGGCTGGGACCTGGGGGTGGAGAAGGGGACACAGCAGGTTGGTAGTACTCTGGAGGACAGTTCATGGGCCACCGATGGGCCAGATGTGGGTGGGGCACCACACACGATGACATCACTGCAACAAGGTCACCGCAGCCTGGTCACGCAGCTAGTCCACACAGCTAGTCCACACAGGTAGGTCCACACAGCTAGTCCCAACAGCTAAAGTCACTGAGCGAGGTCCACACAGCTAGGTCTACACAGCTAGGTCCACACAGCTAGGTCCACACAGCTAGTCCACACAGGGCCAGATGTGGGTGGGGCACCACACACGATGACATCACTGCAACAAGGTCACCGCAGCCTGGTCACGCAGCTAGTCCACACAGCTAGTCCACACAGGTAGGTCCACACAGCTAGTCCACACAGCTAAGTCCACACTGCTAGTCCACACAGGTAGGTCCACACAGCTATCTCCACATAGCTAAGTCACTGAGCGAGGTCCACACAGCTAGGTCTACACAGCTAGGTCCACACAGCTAGGTCCACACAGCTAGTCCACACAGCTAGTCCACACAGGTAGGTCCACACAGCTAGGTCCACACAGCTAGGTCACTGCAGCTAGGTCCACGCAGCTAGGTCCACGCAGCTAGTCCACACAGCTAGGTCCACGCAGCTAGGTCCACGCAGCTAGTCCACTGCAGCTAGGGCCACATGGCTAGGTCCACATGGCTAGTTCCACACGGCTAGTCTACACGGCTAGGTCTACATGGCTAGTTCACATGGCTAGGTCCACATGGCTAGGTCACTGCAGCAAGGCCACACAGTCGGTCCACACAGCCGGTCCACCCAGCTAGGTCCACACGCCAGTCCACAGCTAGTCCACACAGCTAGTCCACACAGCTAGTCCACACAGCTAGTCCACACAGCTAGTCCACACAGCTAGTCCACACAGCTAGTCCACACAGCTAGTCCACACAGCTAGGTCCACACAGCTAGTCCACACAGCTAGGTCCACACAGCCAGTCCACACAGCCAGTCCACACAGCTAATCCACACACATAGGTCCACACAGCTAGGTCCACACAGCTAATCCACACAGCTAGGTCCACACAGCCGGTCCACACAGCTAGGTCCACACAGCTAGGTCCAGTGTGGCTTTCCTCCCCAGTGCTCTAGGGTACTGGGGCACCGGGGTACTGAGGTGCTGGGGTACTTAGGTACTGGGGTACCGGGGTACTGAGGCACCGAGGCGCCAGGATACCAGGGTACTGGGGCACTGGGGTACTGAGGTACTGGGGTACCAGGGTACTGGGGTATTGGGGCACCAGGGTACTGGGGTACCAGGGTACCAGGGTACTGAGGTGCTGGGGTACCAGGGTACTGAGGTGCTGGGGTACCAGGGTACTGGGGCACCAGGGTACTGAGGCGCCGGGATACCAGGGTACCGGGCACCGGGGATGTGCCGGGAGCCTGCCTTCATGTGCTTTGTCCTAGCTCAGCCGTGAAAGGGCGCTTTTCTAACCCTGTGAGAACCGAAGTGCACACGTGTCAACACATGAATACACACGCTAAGAGGGCAGGCCACGATGACAAGCAGGGAGCGGCCTCCTAAAGGGAACACGGAAGACAAGTGTGTCTGAGACCAGGCCTCTGGAGCTGGAGGGCGGCAGGGCCTTCATCAGCTCCGCACAGCCCCGGGGGCCGCAGGAGGGAGCCGGGTACACTCTGAGCAGTAGTGCGGGCTGGGGAGAGGCACCCACTCAGCTGTCCCACAGCACACTGCTGTGGCACCGGCCCGGGCTACACGCCAGCCACCCGAGGAGAGGCGAGGACACGACGCATCAGGAGTGGGAACCGGGGAGGCTCTGGGAGGGAGACTTAAAGAGTTCTTCGCTTGAGGAGACAGCAGGTAAGGACAGACGCCCCCCACCGCCCCCGCTGCCTGTCCAGTGCAGCGGGAGGAGTGCTTCGCGGAGCTATTTATAACTCAGGTGATCTGACAGGGCTGGTGGTCACCCTGAGGCTTGTGGCGAGCAACGCCCGGCTGCTCCCTGATGCTTGGGGACAAGCACTGGGTCTGTCAGTTGGGCAACTGGAGTTGCAGGCGGGGGTCCAACTCTCCCTTAATACTGGGGCACCAGGGTACTGAGGCGCCGGGATACCAGGGTACCGGGCACCGGGGATGTGCCGGGAGCCTGCCTTCATGTGCTTTGTCCTAGCTCAGCCGTGAAAGGGCGCTTTTCTAACCCTGTGAGAACCGAAGTGCACACGTGTCAACACATGAATACACACGCTAAGAGGGCAGGCCACGATGACAAGCAGGGAGCGGCCTCCTAAAGGGAACACGGAAGACAAGTGTGTCTGAGACCAGGCCTCTGGAGCTGGAGGGCGGCAGGGCCTTCATCAGCTCCGCACAGCCCCGGGGGCCGCAGGAGGGAGCCGGGTACACTCTGAGCAGTAGTGCGGGCTGGGGAGAGGCACCCACTCAGCTGTCCCACAGCACACTGCTGTGGCACCGGCCCGGGCTACACGCCAGCCACCCGAGGAGAGGCGAGGACACGACGCATCAGGAGTGGGAACCGGGGAGGCTCTGGGAGGGAGACTTAAAGAGTTCTTCGCTTGAGGAGACAGCAGGTAAGGACAGACGCCCCCCACCGCCCCCGCTGCCTGTCCAGTGCAGCGGGAGGAGTGCTTCGCGGAGCTATTTATAACTCAGGTGATCTGACAGGGCTGGTGGTCACCCTGAGGCTTGTGGCGAGCAACGCCCGGCTGCTCCCTGATGCTTGGGGACAAGCACTGGGTCTGTCAGTTGGGCAACTGGGGGTGCAGGCGGGTGTCCAACTCTCCCTTAAACATTAACCGTCCCTGAAACATTTATGTTTTGTACCCAAGGCCAAGGGGACCCAGGAGGAAGAGGGGCATGGGAGGCAGGGAGGGAGGGCCCCCACACCCATGACACACACGTCCCATAGGAAGTCGGGGCCAGGGCAGCCCAGGCCCCCACAGTTGCAGGGCTGAGCCAGACCCCAGATGGGTGGAGAGCTGCTGGTGACAGAGCCCACCCTGCCCTGGGCCTTCCACACTCCATTTCCCAGAGGAGGTTTGGGGAGGGGAGATCTGAGCATCTCCAGGGCCTTTGTCCCCAGGGTAGGGGACTCGGACTTCAGGGCATGAGCCGACTCAGAGGGTGGTCCCAGCGTCCCACTCAGCCAGGCTGCCACGTGGCTGTCACATGGCTGCCATGTGGGGACAGGGCTGTGGGGGTGGGGTTGGGTGGTGCGTGGCCACGGGGAGCCCTGCTCCTCAGAGAAGAGCTCAGTGCTAGCCTGCCAGAGCCCATGGAGGAGAGAGGGCCAGTCAGGAAAGGGAGCCCAGTGTGACCAGAGGCCCTGGGACCGCCCTCCTGGTCGGTGTCCACGCCGAGCGTGATCCGGGTCTCCAGCACCGGAACAGAGGACTCGACTAAGCACACATGTAGCCCTGCACAAAAGTCCACACTGTCCCCGTGGGCCCAGGTTCAAAGGTGCACACGCACAGCCATGGAGGCACACTCGTCTCCAGTTCCCGGTGCTGCCTCACTGCACAGCCCAGAGGGCAGCTGGCGGCCCAGACAGCTGACCCAGGCCAACACCCTCACCACATGGTGCAGAGTGGGGGGGTCCTCGGGTCAGACAGGAGCACAACCATGTCAGGGGCTGGGAGAGCGGGCATGCGGTCTGCCT